CTGCTGGTAAAATTACAGAATATAGCATTAAAGGGGAGGCTTACAAGCAGTTAATTTAAAATACAGCATGAAAAAATCATGCCAATGAGGAAACAAAACTATCACTTTGCAGACAATATGATGGTATACTTGGAGAATCCTAGAGAATCAACCAAAAACTAGTTGAAATAATTAACAACTTCAGCATAATTGCAGGATATAAAAGAAATCCACATAAATCATCAGCATTTCCATATATTACCAATGAAGTCCTGCAAGAAAAAATAAGAGAAATTCCACTAAAATGACTTCAGGCAATATAAAATACTTGAGAGTTTACCTGCCAAAACAAACCCAAGAACTATATGAACACAATTACAAAACACTTTTCACACAAATAAAGTCAGATCTAAACAACTGGAAAAATATTAATTGCTCATGTACAGGCTGAGCCAATATAATAAACAACAACTATTTTACCTAAATTAATTTACTTACTCAGTGCCATCCCAATCAACCTACCAAAATTATTTTTATGGAACTAGAAAAAATAAAATTCATCTGAAAGAACAAAAGGTCAAGAACACCAAGGGAATCAACGAAAAAAAAATGTGAATGAAGGTGACTTAGCAGGACCATATCTCAAACAGTATTACAAAGAGGTAAGTAATCATGAAAACAATTTGGTACTGACTAAGAAATAAGAGTGGTGGATCACTGGAATAGATTCAGTGCAAGACACACAGTGGTAAATGACCATAGTAATCTAGTGTTTGATAAACACAAAGATCCAAGCTTTTGGGACAACTCACTATTTGACAAAAATTACAGAAAAACTGGAAAGCAGTTTGGCAGAGACTAGATATGGACCAACATCTCACACTGTATATCAAAATAAGGTCAAAATGGGTATATGATTTAGACATAAAGGCTAATATCATAACCAAATTAGGGGAGCATGACACCATTTACCTGTTAGATCTATGGATAAGGAAAGAATCTGGGACCAAAAAAGAGATACAGAGTATTATAAGATGCAAAATGGATAATTTTGATTACATTACATTAAAAGGGTTCTGCACAAACAAAATCAATGTAGCCAAGATTAAAAGGAAAGCAGAAAGCTGGGGGAAAATTTTTACAGCAAGATTCTCTGATAAATGCCTCATTTCTCAAATACGTAGAGAAATAAGTCAAATTTACAAGAATAAGAGTTCTTTCCCAATTGATACATGGTTGAAGGATATCAACAGGAAGTTTTCAGAAAAAAAATCAAAGCTATCTGTAGTCATATGAAAAAATGCTCTCAATCACTATTGATTAAAGAAATGCAAATTAAAACAACTTTGAGGTACCACATCACACCTATCAGATTGGCTAATATGACAGAACAGGAAAACAACAAATCTTGAAGGGGTTGTGGGGGAAAATGGGACACTAAGGCACTACTGGTGGAGTTGTGAACTGATCCAACCACTTTGGAGAGCAATTTGGAACTATGCCCAAAGGGCAACAAAACTATGAATACCCTTTGACCCAGCAATACCACTACTAGGTCTATATCCCAAAGAGCTCAAAGAAAAAGGAAAAGGTCCTATATGTACAAAAATATTTATAGCAGCTCCTTTTGTGGTGGCCAAGAATTGGAAACTGAGGGGATACCCATCAATTAGGGAATGGCTGACCAAGCTGAGGTATATGGTTGTTATAGAACACTATTGTGCTACAAGAAATGATGAACAGAATGGTTTCAGAAAAACCTGGGAAGACTTACACGATCTGATGCACAGTGAACTGAGCAGAGCCAGGAGATCATTGTACACAATAACAGCAACACTGTACGATGACCAACTTTGATACACTTAGCTATTCTCAGCAACATAATGACAATTCCAAAGGACGTCTGATGAAAAATGCTATCCTCAGATCAGAGAAAGAGCTGGTAAGAGTCTGAATGCAGATTGAAACATACTTTTTTTTAACTTTATTATTCTTGTTTTTTATGGTCTACATTTTCTTTTGCAGCACAGCTAATATGACTTGCCATGACTGCACACATGTAATCTATATCAAAGTGCTTGCTTTCTCCCTCTGTGATATCTCTGCAAGTTCAGCACTGCTGAGGGTTCATCCAAGGAACTCTGGGAATTCCTCCTCCTAGGCCCAACACTAAATGGCCCAATGTAGAGAGAGAACAGCAATGTGCCCGGGGAGGCCGAGGGAAGGGGTGGGAAGGAGTGGGGAGAGAAGTGTAGGCATCTGAGAAGGGACGGGGGCACACAAAACAAGTAAAGAGTGAAAATAAGAAGCGTATCCTAATCCCCCAAGCCAGGAATATCTCCCCCAGAAAATTTCTTTTTTTTATTATATTATGGCTTGGGGGATAGATCAATATATGCATACATACACATTTTATACATATGTGTGTGCATGTGTATGTGTGTATTTTATATAATTTTATATATTACACATATTATGTAAGGTAAATTTTATATAATTGTTTAATATAAAGTAAATATATGCATATACATATACACATATACATATGCACATCTATATATAAAACATCTCCCTTGATAAAATGTAAGCTCCTTGAGGGCAAGGATTATTTCCCTGTTGCCTTCCTATCTCCGGTACTACTTAAGTGCTTAAATGCTTGTTAACTAAGAACTTACTATATTCTAGGTACAGCTCTGCCACTAATTAGTTGTGTGTCCCTTAGCAAGTGACTCTTAGGACCTCAGTCTCCTTATCTCTAAATGAAGATGATTTCTAAGGTCATCCCTTCTGATTCTAACAATCTATTATCAATCTACTAAAAAATCTTTATTAAGTGCTTGCTATGTGACAGACACCATTCAAAGAAAGGCAAAAAAAAATTCCTGCCCTCTGGGAGCTCACATTCTAATAGAGACAACATGTCAGTGATGAGGTACGTACAAGATCTATACAGAGCAGGGATAAATTAATCTGAAAGGGGAAAGTGTTAGCAGCTGGAGGGGCCAGGAAAGGCCTCCTGCAGAAGGTGGGCCTGGAGCGTTGATTCCAAAATCCGAGGTGGCTGATCACCAGTCATGTCTTTCTTTCCTCCCCTCTAGGTCTGTGCTGGCCACAACCCACCCTTGAATGAACACTTGTAGATGTGCCCCTCGTTAAGAATGAAGGATGATGGAGAGGAGTGGGAGGTAGAAGACTGCTATTGTTAGATGGTTTCATTGCAGGGTTTTGTGGTTATTTCAAACTACTTGGCCTGGGCAACAACTTCAAACAGGGCAAACTGGCACCAAAAGAAAAAGAAGGATGAGAGTGGAATTAGAGCAGAATATCAACCTGGATTTTAAATGACAATAATCACAATGCGAATTGGCCTCTGTGACCTCCTGGACACCCAGCCAATTAAAGGCCTGATGCCTTGTCCCATCCCCCACAAGTTTGATCACACTTTGATCTTATTAAGGTGGGCTCCCCTGCACAGGGGGACCACAGATGACCACCTGACTATAATATCCGGACCACCTCCGACTGAGGGCAAGGGCAGGGCCAAACTCACCAGGATTTAATTCCTATTCTAATCCCCCAGAAAAGCTTCCCTGGGGGCGGTTTTTTTCCCCCCTCAAATAAATCCCACCACATGGGATGAGCCCCATTCCAACAATTCTGAACAGAGTCAGCAGCTGCAGAAAGTTCTGCTAGGCCAGGGGTGAGTAACTAGAGTGATATGAAGGAGGATGAGAAAGGAAAAGGCCCAGTCTCTGACCTCGTGAGGCTTACAATCTAATGGGAGAAGATGAGAGAAGTGAAAATAAATACAAAGAGAGAGGAACAGGGACTGGACTCCAACTCCAAAATGAGAAAATGCCCTTTACCAATGCAGGTCAGCGTCTGCTCTGCCACTTACAGGAGGAGCCCAGAACATTTTGGGACTTGTCCAAGTTCACAAAGCCAGTATGGGGGTCAGAGGTAGGTCACACAAACATATACATCTCAAAAGAACTAGAGGGAGATTTATAAAACAAAAAACAAAAAAACAGAGAGGAAAAGGGAAGGCCACAGGCATCAGTGATGGACTGAAACCTCTTAGGGCAGCAAACCAATGTAGAAATACAGTAAAGACCCTGAATTTGGAGTCAAAGAACCTGTATAGAAACCAATGTAGAAATACAGTAAAGGCCCTGGATTTGGAGTCACAAGACCTGTATAGAAACCAATGTA